CAGGCACGCATATATTAGACTAATGTAGGCAGCTATAAATAATGACTTTGACAGGGCATCTTTGGGCACATTGTATACTGTAATGCCTATTGATCTGATTTGTCACTACATGTGTTACACAAAGGAATGGAGTTACTAAAAAGAATTGTCAGCTGTAGCAAAAAATCCTGTTCTACTTTGTGAAAAGTAGTGAAAAGTTAAACACCGCCCCCTCCCACCCCCCAAATTGCTGGGATTGTATATTGACATCATTCTAGCTCTTTTATAAACTTGCTGTATGCAGGTCTTGTCCTAGAAAAACAGCCCTAAGTTATTGAATATAGCCTCTGAAAATTAAATTTCTCCTCATATATCATACTGATGCATTTGGAAAGTGATAAAAAGGCTGTTTACATGAATAGGGTTTTTTATTCTAATGGGGGAAAAACATTCAGTTTACATGATCGTTATTTTTCTTCTTTCAAACTGCATAAGAAATGCTATCTTTTCCTAAATGAACATAATGAAGGAGCTTCCCTGCTGAATTGTCCTTGAATGTATCTGTAAATGCTGATTACTAAAGAGAAATGCCCTATTGCAGAAATGCTATGGCTTTGAGGGTTTTTTCCCTTCAGCTTAGTAACTGCCATTGCATTCTGATAAAGAATAGACATTAGTATCTGATAGTGATCCTTTTAATATGCAGCAGACTTTCTTGTATGTAATGGTGTAATCACTAGCTAGCAATTTATTGTATTTCATAGATTGTTTTGACTAGCTTGTGATTACGGACTGGTTTCTTTTTTTTTCTTTTACATTTCAGTGGCACTGTAGATGAACATTGAAAGTTGCATATAGCGTTTGTTGCGTAGAGTTTTTATAGGTTGTCATGAATGTGAGAAATGTTCTGTGCAAATATCAGTAACTGCCAGGAAAAGCTGACGTCACACAGATGTTTGTAGACCTGGAATATAAAGTTAAGATATGACATTATGTAAGTAGGTGTGTTACGGATCCCTGCTTTGGGCCCTTCTGGTTTTGCGGGTGTTTTCTGCAGAGCTCAGACTTGTGCTTTACTTTCATGCAGAATTTTACAAGGCACAAACACAAGATACTTGGATTCCCCCGGCCCCCCTTCCTTTTTGAAGAGCAAATCTATTTCACTGTGGCTAAACATGATTTGCCATATAAAAACTGAATGCTCTCTGAATTTATCATTAAGAAATGTGTTCAGAGAGCAAACCTAGAAAAGAGAGTATCAATACTGACATCTAGGTCTTGGCATATTATTTAGCCCATGGCAATTTAGGAGACTATCTTTGAGAGCATGGCCAGAACCCTGGAATACTTCACTGTCTCAGCTTTTATTTAAAAACCCAAGAGACCATGAAAAGTTTGTGGTCTGTGTGGATGTTGAGCTAACCTTGCAAGTGCTAACTTCCACTGATGCAGTGTGCCTGAACCTGCAGAGTGCTCTGGTGTCTGCAGCCATGACGGTGCAGGGAAGGGGAAGGGATGTTGCTGAGCAGTGCGGCATTCCCCTCATCGCAGGATCCAGTGCATGTGCTGCACTGGGTGGAGCTTGGGGGAGCCATGGTCCCCTTCGCTCCTCTCCCCCTGGGAGATCATCCCCATGAGTGTTGCTTGCAACTGCTGTGAGCAGTGGATGGCAGAAGGCTCATGATACTGTTTCTACAGAAGGAAAAGAATTTTTACCTATCCTAAATCAGTCCTTTCCTTCATACGCTCCTTTCCGCAGTCAGGACGAAAGCATCCTAATCTTTGTCAGCAAATAAATGGAGTTTGTTTTTGTGTTTTTTTGTTGGTTTGGTTTTGATTGCTTTTTTCCCCCCATGGACAGCGAATTCTTACAGCATAAATATTTTTTGTCTTTTACCATATAGTGGACATTCTGACAACAAACATCAGACAAGGCATTGCCAGATATAACATAGGAAATAATAACTCAACTGGTAGATACTAATTGTTCTCCCAGTAAAACTGATTTGGCTGTTCTCTACGGCTTTAAAAATAGGGCTAAATTCATAGTCTAGCTGACACACTGAATTGGTGTTTTTAATGTATTATGTCTTGTCTTAATCTTGACTGTTCACATTAGAACCGTGGTCTCATCCCATGAATTGTTACTAAACCAGCAAACCCTGTGGTCTAGCAGAATCCTCTGTTTAAGAACAGTGTGAAACTGGAATATCAGTAATTGTAGCCCAGAGTCAAGGTGCATTGGCGGAGAGGGAAGTGTGGAATATTGCTGACAGCCGATCGGTGCCGTGTCTGTTGTAAATCAGTGATATTAGTTCTTCACTTTCATGAATATTAAACTAGCAACTTTTGTACTATTTCAGTTTAAAACAGATGTCATCATTCTCTGCTGTACTAGCAGGCAAAGAGAAGTAATAGAAGGGAGAAAAGAGTTGGAGAGCAATGAGGAAAATCATAAAAATGAATGAATTGATACATTGAAAATTTGTTTGGATGGTAAAGGAGCTAAGCCTGTGACCAGTGATATAGAGATGTGATCTTTGTTGATACAAATAGCCCAGCTGAAACCAAGTAATAAAGGTTTTAAAAAAAAAAGAAAAAAAGCTTTGGGTCTATGTAAGTATTGTTTTTCTCTGTAACCTCTTAGATTTTATTATATTGCTTGAGCAGTATCTGTTCTGAGCATGTTTTCTAAGGCTTGGAAGATAGTACCCTACACCTGCAAGAATACAAATAAAGATATTTACAACTATAATCAGATCAGTGTAGGTACTAATTCCACTTTATAAGCACATCTGTTCTGCGAAAAATTCATTGTGTTGGGAAACATTCTAACTAGAAAATTTTAATTAGTACAGGGTCGCATACAACTTAAGCATTACTGGAGGAAGACACTTTTATCAACCATAACCATCAAGACTTGCTTATCCCTATGAAGAGTAAAATTGCATTTGGCATGGTTTTAGCACATTGCATTCAGCAGCTGCAAATGGGGCCCTGAAGCATGAGATATTAAAAAGAACAAACTGTACAATGCTTCATTTCTCTGAGCAATGAATCCCAGCAGTTTAGTCACATAAATAGAATTTCACCTTCATCTTTTCCACCACACTAGCGTAGCAGTAAAGCTTTTTTTCTTCCTTATGCAATGAGACTGAGAGAAAACACTGTGGTAGTGGAGCTGGGATGCTGTAAGCATTAATAAACCTGAAAATTAGAATTCTGTGCCTTTTCCTATATGTTTCATCACCCTGTTAAAACCAAAAGAACCCCAACCTCTCTCCCCCTCCCTCCCCCCCCCAAAAAAACCCTGTAGTTATGAAGATGGGTAGCACCTGATACACTTTGATAGTATTTCTATTCTTAGACTAGCTAGTTATTCCCAATAAACTTGTTTTCATTCCTGTATTTGTATATATACCTCAATAAATCATCAGTCACCACCACAGGACATCCAGTCCAAGTACTCTTTGTAAAACACATTCTGGACTGTTCGTTAGCCAAGTAAGGTAGCCCTTGAGGACCTACTGCCTGGGGCAGGTAGCCTCTCAATAGCCAAAGTATGGATGGAAGGAAGACGGAGCTGGAGGGGCCATAGTGTGTAAACATAACCATTGTCTGCATAGCATGTACCCCAAATGGGAAGTTTTATTCTCCTTAGATTTAAGCCTGTTCCTTCCATGGTCTTACATGAGTGACGAATTTGGTTTGTACTTTCTTTCTGGATTTAATCAATGTTTCCCAAAAGCACTGCTTAGTTTTAATGTGGAGCCATTTAAATATTTTTTGCTTATAATTTTCAGATATTGTTGACAAATTACGTTTTTGCATTAAGTAGCAGTGTTACATGCATGTGTTTCATTTCAGGTACATCTATTGTGACGAAATTGATTTGGCTGCAGATACAGTACTGGCCACTCTTTATGCTGCCAAGAAGTATATTGTCCCTCATCTTGCCCGTGCCTGCGTCAACTTTCTAGAGACAAGTCTAAGTGCAAAGAATGCCTGTGTGCTGCTTTCCCAGAGCTGCTTATTTGAGGAACCTGACCTGACCCAGCGCTGTTGGGAAGTGATTGATGCCCAAGCTGAGCTAGCTTTGAAGTCTGAGGGGTTCTGTGACATTGATTTTCAGACACTTGAAAGCATTCTCCGAAGGGAGACTCTGAATGCCAAAGAAATTGTTGTTTTCGAAGCAGCTCTGAACTGGGCCGAAGTGGAGTGTCAGCGACAAGAGCTAACAGCTACCATAGAGAACAAGCGCAAAGTCCTCGGGAAGGCTCTGTATTTGATACGCATCCCTACCATGGCACTCGACGACTTTGCAAATGGCGCGGCTCAGTCTGGGATTCTGACTCTCAACGAAACCAATGATATCTTCCTCTGGTATACGGCTGCCAAGAAGCCAGAGTTACAGTTTGTAAGCAAGCCCCGGAAAGGCCTCGTTCCTCAGCGATGCCACCGTTTCCAGTCCTGCGCTTACCGCAGCAACCAGTGGCGCTACAGGGGCCGCTGTGACAGCATCCAGTTTGCTGTTGATAAGAGAGTGTTTATTGCTGGCTTTGGGCTGTATGGCTCCAGCTGTGGATCAGCAGAGTACAGTGCCAAGATTGAACTCAAACGACAAGGAGTTATCCTAGGCCAGAACTTGAGTAAATATTTCTCAGATGGTTCTAGTAACACTTTTCCCGTGTGGTTTGAATATCCAGTGCAGATTGAGCCTGACACCTTTTACACAGCTAGTGTGATTCTGGATGGTAACGAACTCAGCTATTTTGGACAAGAAGGAATGACAGAAGTTCAGTGTGGGAAGGTGACTGTTCAGTTTCAGTGCTCTTCGGACAGTACAAATGGCACTGGGGTACAGGGAGGGCAAATTCCCGAACTCATATTTTATGCTTGAATGAAAGTGTGTGGAGACAAAGTGTTTTCCTATGAAGAACCTGTCTGGTTTGGGCCTCCTGACACTTAGCTTTTTATCTGCAGATATGTGACCAGTACAGGTAATATGTAACTAAACGCTATGGGCAAGTTACTGGCTTGCTATACTTGTAGCATTGTTGGTGATAAAGTTTAAGTGTAATATTTAAACTGGAAGCTCTTAGGAACAAGCAAGTTTTAAAGGCTTTGTAAGAGAGGGGCCTGTTTGCTGGTGATGCTGACCCTTTCTTTGGTGCACCAGTGAATCACCAGAGGATGTCCCCCTCTTGTATCTCACTAAATGCTGTCTTATTGATCCATTTTTCTCTTTCTCCATTTCCTGCTTTCTGCTTGTAATTGTTTGGGGAGGTAGGGATAGAAAATGAAGAGCCTTGTTTTACAGCTCTCTCTTCCGTCTGTTCTTCAGATTTAAGAGATGCCAGTAATGAGCTGCTTTTGATCATGGGAGCTGAAAGAAGTGCTTCAGTTGTACGCAGAAAAAGCATAGGTTTAAAACTTTATCCTGTGAGATTCTCCTGTGGCCAACTGGTTGGGATGGCTGCAGGGGAAGATGGAGAGAAGCAAGCAGCTTTCAGGGATCTACACAGCATGCTGACCATGTCCACAGTGCATGGGCATGTTTATAGTGAGGGGGGGCTGTGGGCTTGGCAAGTTACCCTCAGAGTTCATTTTCTAGGAATCCCACCTCGAACGCAAGGAAGTACTTGTACATGTTCAAATTGTATATGCAGCTCTTGAAACTCTACTTCCATGGCCTAGTTTTTACTACATTGAAGTTTATTTGCTATTTAAATGGCTTTTCTTTGAGCCCTTGCTAAATAAATGGGAATTAATATCTATCATCTGATGCAGGATAATTTTTTGTTTGTTTTGGGTGGGATGTTTTTCTTCCTCCTAAACATGGTAGAAGCAGATTATAGAGGAACAAAAGAATGTACCAGTCCTGACTTGGATTTTTTCCTGTAGTATGAGTTTTCTTCTTTTTATTACCATACACAATCAGTGGGAATTTAGACAAAGACAAGAAGATTCCCAACTGTGGTCATATTACCTTAGTGTATCTCATCAGATAACAGTGAGGAGGAGGAAGTCTTCTCTAATGTGCAAATGTTGGAGCTCTTGCAACTGCTTATGGTTACATATAAATGAGAGGATTATGTGGTGCAGAACTTTTTCCTGTGTGATTTCTGCCCCCCCCCCAACTTCCTGTCATATGCCTATACCATTTTTAGAAAAGTATTAGGGATCATGACTCCTTTATCAGGGAAGGAAAACAGTATAAGTAAGAAATACAGGTACTATTTAAACATAAGAAAATCCTTCACCATTGCGTTGGGACAGTTGCTTCTCAGAGGGAGGCTACCTATTGTAAAGCATCTTGTTCTTATTTAATCTCTGAAGTGGGTTCTGTTTGTTGTGTATGTTTTAACAAAATGAGAGGACCAAATGATTCTTAAGACAGACTGAAGATTAATGTTACAGTATATCAACACATTAATGCAGCATAACCCTAAATTCACTTGTCAGTTTTGTAATAAAAATGTTTTTCTCATATGATTTCTTACCAGTTTAATACTATTGCTCTAAGTGTTTCTTGACGGTTGGAATCCTGGCCCCTGGCCATCGTAAAGTGCCAATACATCTTTGCAGTGTCCAAAATACCATCTGAAGTAAGGAGAACGAGTGTAGACGTCAAACACTTTATGGCCAAAGCCCAGATCATCTCTCTAGGTAATAAAAGGAGAGCCAGGTAAAAAATTACCCTGCAAGATCTATGCTTTTCACCTATCTTAGTGTTTAATGTTTTATATACATACATACGTACGTGTGTGTGTGTGTAAGCAACGTTCTTTCTGAAATGTAAATACCCTCAAAATATATAGAAATTTTTTTTTTTTTGGTAACAGATGTACATAATCTAGACTGTTAGTGAAATCTAAACAGAATGCTCCATGGAAAACTCCCAGAGATTTTAAAAACCTCCAGTTAATTATATTTAGATCTGCATCCTAAAATAGACAAGAGTGTAATTGTATGGACTGGAGGAAGAGTTGCTGAAGAGACTGCAAAAAGGAATCTAAGATTGAGATGAGGTAATGGTCACCTACTTTTAGACAACATCTGAGCAGCAGTTCCATTTATTTAAATACATTTGAAGCAGAGAAAGATGCTAATCAGCTGATTAAGTTTTCTTACAGCAAGCGGTTGATGTAGATGTAATTACTCTGAGTGATGATCAGATTGACAAGTTGCTTGCAGTAGCAAGCTGCATTCTGAGTTGTTTGGAAAAAAATCAGGTGCCTCAGCTGGTGGGCCAAATCAAAGTACTGTACTGGTATAACTAGACTTGGGTTCTCAGTTTCAGTTTATTTTTTTGTTTTTACTTACCTGCAAATAAAGATGAGCTACCTAGTATGTTGACTGGCTGGAACAGAAGTTAGGAGATCAGAATACTGTGTAGCTGTAATATGTAGAAAATGAGCTGTTAATTGTTATTTTTATTTGCTACTGTTACGAAATCTTTTTGACGAAGTAGGATGAAAGCTACCTCTAGCTTAATTCCTCTGAGTCCATTCCAGGTTTTAGGAGCTGGTGCATGTAAAGTTTTTCAATATGGATAAATAAACATAAGCACCCCAAAACACCTTTTGACGCTTACAGCGTGACTTGATGGTGAGCGCTGCTTGGTACTAACAAGTACTGGTATATAAAGAAGGTGGCTAGTACCGGTCACCTTAGGACATCAGGGCACTTAAATAGGTGTCTAAATGTAGATTTGGCTGGTTTAGCAGTAGCATCCAAGCTTGACACTGACTGACATTTTGCAAGCCTCAGCCATATCAACCTGGAACGTAAGCATAATGTCGATAGAGATCCTTTCATAGATTTCATCTTAAACTGTACCTGGCCATCTTTGCTACTCATATGTTTGATTTTCCTGGTGAGGGGAATCTGTGATAAGAGAGTGCAACGTAATATACTTTCTGCATATCTAAAATAATATTTAAGTAAACATTTTAATTTCTACATACTTATTGCACTGAACTGTTTTGGGGTTTGTTTGGGGTTGGTTTTTTTTTTTCATTAGTTGTGATAAACTCAGCTAACTTCAGGTCCCAGCACCCATTTGTGCTGGAGAAGTGTTTGACCTTAGCAGGCTTACAGCATTATTTATAAAGGACAAATATCTATAAATATGAAGTACCTCATGTTGAATGTTATTGTACTGTATCTTTAATGTCACAGTGCAGATCTTGTTGGACTCATGAATGTGTATAATCACGTTAAACATACAAATAAAAGTGGTTCTTAAATGGTTGTTTCCTGCATATCTTTGAAGCATGAGCTGTGAAAGACTTTACTTAGTTATCTCTTCTAGCGATTTCTATTGTTGTACAATTGTGCACAGATATTTGTTGAGCTTATGTACAGAAAGATCTTTTGATCCCCAAAGAAGTAAAAGTCTAAGGAAAAAACAAGGAAGAACAATGAAAATGTTAATCAGTTCCATTGTAAAAAGGTTGACGATTAAGCTAATGAGCTAGAGTGAATGAATTCATTTATGTGCTTTATGAAAGACCTTGTCTACTAGCATTAATATTTCAATGTTCTATTAATATTATTAAGTATGTGGAGATGAAGGGGGAGGGTCTCATGTTTATTCTAGCAGACAGTTGGCACAGGAAAGGCCATGGTTTTCAGTCTCTGATATATCAGAATAAAGGACATGGTTAGTGCCAAGAGGCTGTTCTCTGCTGAAAAGTTAATTAGGTAATATTCAGAATTCTGACTATTTTCTTACTCAACAATTTTCTTCCAGGAGATTTGAAACTCAATTTTAAATATTTTTATGGCCAGTGAAGCTAAAGCCCCACTTCTGTGATGTTCATCTCCAAGACCTTTCAGATATTACTAGCTAATGATAAGAAATACTCCACAGTGTGATGTAGAGACTTGGAAATTTAATTGAGGAAGTCTTCCCCAGTAAAAACAGTACCTTCAGACTTCATCTAAAATTCTGATTAAAGCATGTTTACGGGCATCAAACTTGTCACTTTAGGTAAGTTGTTTTTCTAGAATTGTTACTGCTGTACTTGGTACCACATTGCTACATTCTGGATCCAAATTCTCTTATGCGTCCAGTGCTTCTCATTAGTTTGGAACTGGCTTCATGCCTTGTTCTGTGCTAATGATACCAGCTCTTAAATATGTGGTAGATAGCGGTGTGATTTGGTGCAGGAAGGACTCCATTGGCAGCAGCAGTCTAGCTAGGTATGTTGGAGGAGATCATTGCTGCTAGCAGCCTCAGTTTCTCTGATAAACAGGTAAGAACTAAGTGGACAAGATGAATAAAGGATGGCCTGTCTCATCCAAAGGGACATTCTCCTCTACTGGATGAAATCTGACAGCAGTGCTAGGACGCTTTCTTTGGAAATTGATGTTAGGTAGAGCTGTGTCAGTCTCTGGCGCTGTGTTCAGTGATGCAGAGAAGTATGTGTGTATTCACACCAGAAAAAAAGGAGTTTGAAGTGGCCGGAAAAAAGTGATAGGATGTTTCTGCGTTTGGGAGGAAGAAGACTCCAAGAGCTGAATTCAGTTGTTTGTCTCTTAGGTAACATCCTGCTTGGTGGAGAAAGACTCTCTGTTCCCACTTAGCTGGGAACTCCTCAGGAGATGACAGCCCCTGCCTCTCAGGAAGGCAAGGTCCCATCTAAAACAGGCTTCTTGGGAGTAGGAGCCCAAGATTTCTTGGCCTCTGGTAGGCAAGACTACTTACCCTACAGCCCAGGACAAGCCACCTCCTTAAAGAAGCTGACTGGGACTGCTGTAAGCAGGAGGGTCTTTTTAGACCTCCCAAGCTCAGCACTTGGTGGAAGCTGAGATCCTGGCACAGGGGTGAGACAGGGACTTCAGCCTATCAGCAGTATTTGGCCACTGTGAAAAGCAGTGGCTTTTAAGCCA